TTCCATTTTTCAGTTTTTCTTTCATTTTTCAGTTTTGGATATTTCAGTTTTGGGTTTTTCAATATTTTCGATTTTTGACTCCTGGATTTTTTGATGTGCCGATTTTTTAAGTTTTTCGATTTTTCAATTTTTCGATTTTTAAATTTTAGATTTTTTAACTGTTAAAAATTAAATTTTTCGATTTCTCGATGTCTCAATTTTTCAAGTTTTCGAATTTTTCAAATGTTTCGATTTCTTAATATTTTGATTTTTTGACGTCCCGGTTTTAGATTTTCTGATTTTCAATTATCATTTTGTCAAATTTTCGATTTTTCAGTTTTTCAAATTTGACATTTATAAACTGTCAATTTTTCGATTTTTCAATTAACCGATGTTTTGATTTTCCCATTTCATGACTTTCTAGGGTTTCGATATTCCTGTTCCTCAACCCTTTAATTTTTCGATTTTTCAGCTTTTTGATTTTTGATTTTTAGTTTTTTTAAGGTTTCGATTTTTCGACTTCACATTTTGGATTTTTCGATTGCTCAATTTTTCGACTTTTTAGGTTCTCAGTTTTTGGACATTTCACTTGATGTTTCATTTCAGTTCTTCGATATTTCAATTTTTCAAATTTTCGAATTTTTCAAATGTTTCGATTTCTTAATCTTTTGATTTTTCGACTTCCCGGTTTTAGATTTTCTGTTTTTCAATTGTCATTTTGTCAAATTTTCGATTTTTTAATTTTTCAAATTTGACTTTTATAAACTCTCAATTTTTCGATTTTTCAATTAATCGATGTTTTGATTTTCACATTTCTTGACTTTCGAGGGTTTCGATATTTCTGTTCTTCAATTCTTTAATTTTTCGAATTTTCAGGTTTTTGATTTTTAATTTTTTATTTATTTTAAGGTTTCTGTTTTTCGACTTCACTTTTTGGATTTACCGATTGCTCAATTTTTCGAGTTTTTAGCTTTCAGCTCTTTAATTTTTTGATTTTTGAGGTTTTTGATTTTTCAATTTTTCGAATTTTTAAGGTTTCTATTTTTCGACTTCACTTTTCGGATTTTTCGATTGCTCAATTTTTCGACTTTTTAGGTTCTCAGTTTTTGGATATTTAATTTTCGGATTTTTCAGGTTTTCCATTTTTTAGTGTTTCTTTCATTTTCCAGTTTTTCGATATTTTAGTTTTGGGATTTTTCAATATTTCGATTCTTCGACATTTCGATTTTTGACTCCTGGATTTTTTGATATGTTGATTTTTTTACTTTTTCGATTTTTCAATTTTTCGATTTTTAAATTTTAGATTTTTTAACTTTTAAAATTTTAGATTTTTCGGTTTCTCGATTTTTCATTTCATTTCTTTCAATTTTTCAAGTTTTCGAATTTTTCAAATGTTTCGATTTCTTAATCTTTTGATTTTTCGACTTCCCGGTTTTAGATTTTCTGTTTTTCAATTGTCATTTTGTCAAATTTTCGATTTTTTAATTTTTCAAATTTGACTTTTATAAACTCTCAATTTTTCGATTTTTCAATTAATCGATGTTTTGATTTTCACATTTCTTGACTTTCGAGGGTTTCGATATTTCTGTTCTTCAATTCTTTAATTTTTCGAATTTTCAGGTTTTTGATTTTTAATTTTTTATTTATTTTAAGGTTTCTGTTTTTCGACTTCACTTTTTGGATTTACCGATTGCTCAATTTTTCGAGTTTTTAGGTTGTCAGTTTTTGGATATTTCAGTTTTCGGATTTTGCAGGTTTTCCATTTTTCAATTTTTCGATATTTCAATTTTGGGATTTTTCAATATTTCGATTCTTCGACATTTCGATTTTTGACTCCTGGATCTTTTGATGTGTTGATTTTTTTACTTTTTTGATTTTTCAAATTTTAGATTATTCAATTTTTCAAATTTGACATTTATAAACTGTCACCTTTTCGATTTTTCAATCAATCGATGTTGTGATTTCCTATTTCTTAACTTTCGAGTGTTTCGATTTTCCTGTTCTTCAACTCTTTAATTTTTTAATTTTTCCGGTTTTGGATTTTTCAATTTTTCGATTTTTTAAGGTTTCTATTTTTCGATTTCAGTTTTTGGATTTTTGGATTGCTCAATTTTTCCACTTTTTAGGTTCTGAGTTTTTGGATATTTCAGTCTTTGGATTTTGCAGGTTTTCCATTTTTCAGTTTTTCTTTAATTTTTCAATTTTTCGATATTTCAGTTTTAGGATTTTTCAATATTTCGATTCTTCGACTTTTCGATTTTTGGCTTCTGGAGTTTTCGATGTGTCGATTTTTTTACTTTTTCGATTTTTCAAATGTTTCGATTTCTTAATCTTTTGATTTTTCGACTTCCCGGTTTTAGATTTTCTGTTTTTCAATTGTCATTTTGCCAAATTTTCGATTTTTTCATTTTTCAAATTTGACTTTTATAAACTGTCAATTTTTCGATTTTTCAATTAATCAATGTTTAGATTTTCCCATTCCTTGACTTTCGAGTGTTTCGATTTTCCTGTTATTCAATTCTTTAATTTTTTGGTTTTTCGGGTTTTTGATTTTTCATTTTTTCGATTTTTTAAGGTTTCTATTTTTGGATTCCACTTTTTTGATGTTTCGATTTTTCAGTTTTTAGATATTTCAGTTTTAGGATTTCTCAATATTTCAATTCTTCGCTTTTTCTGTTTTTGAATTTCTGGATTTTTCGATGTGTCTACCTTTTTACTTTTTCGATTTTTCAATTTTTGAATTTTTAAATTTTAGATTTTTCAATCTTTTGATATTTTAATTTTTCAATATTTCTTAATCTTTCGATTTTTCCTGGTTTTAGATGTTCTGTTTTTCAATTTTTCGATTTGTTAATTTTTCATTCTCGATTTATTGAGATTTGATTGTTCAGGTTTTCGATTTATCAGTTTTTCAATTTTTTATTTTGGCCTATTTCGGTTTCTCAGTTTTTCCAGTTCTACATTTTTTCGTTTTTTGATTTTTCCGTTTTTCCAGTTTTTCAACTTTTAACTTTTTGTTTGTCGATTTCTTTACTTTTCGATTTTTCGATTTCATCACTTTTCGATTTCTCGTTCTTTTGATCTTTCAATCTCTCACTTTTTCAATTTATAAACTGTGCAATTTTTAACCTTTCAAGTTTTCGATTTTGACCTATTTCGGTTTCTGAATTGTTCGACTTTTCGACTCCACGATTTCTTGATCTTTGATTTTTCGATTTCTCGGTTTTTCGATTTTCCAGTTTTTCGATGTTTCGATTTTTCAGTTATCCGATTTTTTAAATTTGGTAGTTTCGATTTCTCGATTTTTCGTTATTCAGTTTTTAGATTTTTGAATTTTACATTTTTTTGATTTTCTGATGTTCCATTTTTCGATTTTCAGTTCTTCGGTATTTCGATTTTTCAATGTTTCGGTTTTACAATTTTTTAAGGTTTCGATTTTTCGATTAAGTATTTTAATTTTTCATTTTTTTTCTCACTGTTAATATCATACAAAAATTGTCACTAAAAACATTTAAAAAAAATTCATACAAAATAGAACAGTGTTTCCAAAACATTTTGCCGAAAAAAATCCATTGGGTTACTACGATTTCAACAATATTCTTAGTTTAAGACGTTTTGCTAGTATAAAACACAAATAAAGAATTAATTCGTAGTTAAACAAAAATGTAAAATCATCTAAATATGTACCAAAAATATTCACTTAGTCGTTACAAAAACCGACCAAACAACTATTTCCCGCATAAATTATAGTCCAAATCAACCAAATCGCTTCTGAATGCTTAGAGTCGACATTGGCCTGAACACGCTCTGGTCTATAGATCAAACAAGTTCTCAGGCGACGAGTTGTAGTGAAACAAGCTTTAGACTATTTAAATTTGGCGCTTGAGGACTCCAATGTCAATAAGGGTGGTTTTGCAAAATCAGCCTGTATGTGGCATGTATATTAATCTATGGTCACGGATGCTATTCTATGTATATTTGGTTGCATAACTTTGACGTAAACGAGAAAAATCCAACTAAGTTTTTTGTTTAAAAAGATATCACCTTGCCTTATATAAGTAAATCCTCTCAGGGCCTCATCATCGCTCCTTCACACGTCCGCCCCTCCCGCCCCCATCTCGATTCCCAATATAGATTGAATTTCGAATTATGCTGATGAGAAACATCGCCTCTGATAAAATTCGTTATCTCCGCTGTCGAAAAAACGTCATCACTGTGATCAAACTTGTTAATTCCGCGTCGGAGAAATATAAGCTCGAGCTTTCCCTCTGAAATTCTCGATAAACTTTCATGAAATGAAGTCACCGCGCCGTTTCCATAAACCGACTTTTTTATTTTTCAAACTCCGACGCAACCACGGACTTATTGTTTTACGCCGCTGTATACACGGAGATGATTATCCGCATTAATTCATCAACAATGGAAAAGCCTCGTTTATCTGCGTTTTATTAACTGTAAAAAGCTCTTTTTAATAAATTATATAGCGTCACAGCGTATAACAAACGGCAGCGATAAATTTGCGGAGTAAAGCTTGATATTAAAAGGAGGATTAAACGCGATGTGGACATAAATTCTGCGGATATTTATTAGTGTGTTTATTGATTCCGATGGCCGGAATCAGCGCAATTCGAAAATACAAGCTGGCTAGAATTAATCAAACAATTTCGATTCGAATTTGGCGCGTGAATGACGTCGACGCCCATTTCAAGCTACTCCTAATCACCGCATCGATTCTTCTGCGCTCCGAAATTAGCCAAATTCCGTTTTTCCGTGACTCCGTCCCGCGTTCGTGAAATATTGTTGCTGATACGACACAAAGATTTCCATAATGATCTCATTTCTCGCGTAAAGTTGCGCCGTTTTACTACCGGAAATAAAAATTTTATAACATCTTCACCATAAACCCTTGCAAAACAGCAATCCACTTTCAATCAAAAACCCATTTGTTTCCGCGGAACGCCACAAGGTAGGCATGGATGCCCATTCCCGGATTTATTTTCATTGTTGTTGGTGTCTTCCAGGACTGTCCCTACCCGTGCACGTGCCCAGCGGTGGGCCAGGAAGTGTGCAAGGGGTGCGAGGAGTGCCCCCGGCAGCTGGGGGAGCCCTGCGCCCAGGACCGGCCTTGCGACATGCAGAGGGGGCTGGTGTGCCGCTACAAGCATGGAGACGCGGAGGGGGTGTGCAGGGGTAAGTTGGATATCGAATACTTAAGTAAGGAAATTGATTGTCCGGCGTGGACGCAGCGGTTATCGGTGCGACTTTTTTACGATTTCCCCTTCGACCCTTTTAATTCTAGCGCAACTAACTACAGGATTGGAGCGGATTAAACCCGTCGCGATTTAATTACGGCGTGTATTCTTTACGTCCCGGGAGCGCAGGCGTGTCTCCAGTACACTTCATTAGACCAGAAACTAGCTGAAGAGCAAAAACGTGCAACGCTTCGGGGCTTTCACAGCTCCGTCGTTATTTTGTAATACAAACGACCGCCACCGCGGATGGAAGGGGGCGCACAGAAGCTCGAACAAGTTACGGGCGGCTCCGTTCCCGTAATGCAGTTTCAAAGGAAAAATAAACTTAATTAAGAGCGCAGGACTCGCTATTATCCTAAGCGATGCGCCGGTTTTTCTATTTATTAAAAGCGAAATAGGGTGTAAAATGTTACTTCTGGACCAGGACAATTGGCGTTTTAAAAATCAAGGTTGAATTTGGTCCAGAAGTAACATTTTACATCCTGCTAAGCAAACACACAATTTTCTCAAAGGTGGTCGCCCCTTTGGAACGTTCTTCTAGTAATTACGCTCCAGGTACGCTAATCCCGTTACGACGGCTTTTAGACGCTTCATTAGTGTGTTTTGCATAAATTTCGACCGGCTTTGTTCCTTTATTGAGTATTTGTTGTGCAGGAAGTCGGTAGGCAGCGGTTCCAAACTTTTTGTTTCCTGAGCATGAGCTAACAGAGAGCCGTAGTCCTGTGGAGAAAATCTTGGGGTCTCTGGTTTTTGGTTTTTAAAAAAATAAAAAAAAACTCTTCCGCATTTTTATAGAAATAGATAGTACAAACCCTTGAGATTCTTTCGAGTTAAAAAAAAAACTAGGAGCCCCGAGATTCATTAACATTATTATAAATGTCACTAGGAGCCCCCAAATTCTTTCAAACTCATCATATAAAAATATCTTGCAAGCCGCGTGATTCTGCCTCATTCTTATAAATAGAGAGCGGATTTTATGAAATTTGCATATCCTATATTTTTTGCATATAAGTCTTGATATTTTGTATGTGAACGAATCATGCTAATTAAAAATGAATGCAGCTATAAAAAAATTGCATATTTGCATATATTTGCCTTCTGCTGCATATTTCACGTATCGGGTGCATATTTTGCATATTTATCAATTTTTGTGCTAATTTAAAAAAAATGTTATTCTTTTGGCATTTAACTAGAAAGACGAAATTTCATATTCTCCTGAGCTTCAAATAACTAGGAAATGTTTAGGTTATATGGTAGTTTAGAGAATCCACTGGGTGTTAAGCCATCCTTCCAGGTAAATTCAGGCCCTAATTACTTTTGGAAATACGGTTCATTCCCAATATTTTTGTTCGTTACTTAAGTGTATTAATGGTATGTTTTATGGTGGTCGAAGACACGTTATCCTATTATTTTTCATCGTGAGTTTGCATTGAAAGCATTTAAAGTAATACAGGTGTGTCAATATGTCGAAGATAACTTAAATTAATTTATGGATTAAACCTTTTCCTGAACTTATTCTTCAAGAAGGAGTTGTGTTTTGTCGCGCCTGCTCTATTTTTACATCTGTGGACGTAGTATGCAGTTTTTCTATTTACAAATACATACTTTTAAATCACGGGAAAACTTTTTGTTAGAAGATTCGAAAAATATTTAAAAATAAATTGTTACCAAAATAGAAATTAAATAGTCGATTACTTCTATTTTTTAATTTGTTCTGTTTATATTTATTTTTTAGTATAAGAGTATTACCTTTAAAAATGTGATTTATGTGTTAGTGAGATGTAATCAAACACCTTGCAATGTGATTTATGTATTTTTTGTAATAAAACGTAAGCTCGGGAAACCTGTTTTTGTAATTTGTAAATAAATTTAGTTGGGTTATTAAGCTTTTTTTTTTATTTTTGGAGCATATGCAACTGCATATCTCTGCATATATTAAGAAAATTACTGCATATTTGCATAAATTTGGTGCATATCATATGATCATATTTGCCAAAATTTTGCTGCATATTTTCCGCTCTCTACTTATAAACATTATTAGCGACTTCCCAGATTCTTCCATATCGTATATAAAACAGTACAAGAAGTCCCCAGCATTTTTATAAAACTCACTAGGAGCCCCCGATACTCTTTTACAATCTTTATAAAAAGACAGTGAAGCCCTCGAGATTCTTTCACATTCCTGATAAAAAAAGACACTAGAAGCCCTCGTGATGCTTTTACATTTACACTAGGAGCCTCCGAAATTTTTTCATACTCTTCATATAGGTACAAAGAGGCTAGAAGCCCCAACATTCCTCCACATTCTTATAAAAATTATTTGGGGCTTCCAAGATTCTTCTATATCCTCTGTGAGACACTAGAAGCCCCCGACATTTTTACAAATTTTTATAAAACTCCGTAGGAGCCTCCGAGATTCTTTTAGAACTTTTATAAAAAAAGACACAAAAGGCCTCCGAGATTCTATTACATTCGTGTTTCTTCCACATTCTCAAAAAAAAATACTAGGAGCCCCCGAGATTCTTCCACATTATTATAAATGTCACTAGGAACCCCCGAAACTCTTTCCAACTCTTCATATAAAAAGAGCTTGTAAGCCGCGTGATTCTTCCTCATTCTTATAAACATTATTACGGACTTCCCAGATTCTTCCATATCGTATATAAAACAGTACAAGAAGTCCCCAGCATTTTTATAAAACTCACTAGGAGCCCCCGATACTCTTTTACAATCTTTATAAAAAGACAGTGAAGCCCTCGAGATTCTTTCACATTCCTGATAACAAAAGACACTAGAAGCCCTCGTGATTCTTTTACATTTACACTAGGAGCCTCCGAAATTTTTTCGCACTCTTCATATAAAAAGAGCCCACAAGCCCCAACATTCCTCCACATTCTTACAAAAATTATTTGGGGCCTCCAAGATTCTTCTATATCCTCTGTGAGGCACTAGAAGCCCCCGACATTTTTACAAATTTTTATAAAACTCAGTTGGAGCCTCCGAGTTTCTTTTAGAATTTTTATAAAAAAAGACACCAGAAGCCTCCGAGATTCTATTACATTCGTCTTTCTTCCACATTCTCAAAAAAAAAATACTAGGAGCCCCCGAGATTCTTTCACATTATTATAAATGTCACTAGGAACCCCCGAAACTCTTTCCAACTCTTCATATAAAAAGAGCTTGCAAGCCGCGTGATTCATCCTCATTCTTATAAAAATTATTAAGGACTTCCCAGATTCTTCCATATCGTATATAAAACAGTACAAGAAGTCCCCAGCATTTTTATAAAACTCACTAGGAGCCCCCTATACTCTTTTACAATCTTTATAAAACGACAGTGAAGCTCTCGAGATTCTTACACATTCCTGATAAAAAAAGACACTAGAAGTCCTCGTGATTCTTTTACATTTACACTAGGAGCCTCCGAAATTTTTTCACACTCTTCATATAAAAAGAGCCTACAAGACCCAACATTCCTCCACATTCTTACAAAAATTATTTGGGGCCTCCCAGATTCTTCTATATCCTCTGTGAGGCACTAGAAGCCCCCGACATTTTTACAAATTTTTATAAAACTCAGTAGGAGCCTCCGAGATTCTTTTAGAATTTTTATAAAAAAGACACCAGAAGCCTCCGAGATTCTATTACATTCGTGTTTCTTCCACATTCTCAAAAAAAAAAATACTAGGAGCCCCCGAGATTCTTCCACATTATTATAAATGTCACTAGGAACCCCCGAAACTCTTTCCAAATCTTCGTATAAAAAGAGCTTGCAAGCCGCGTGATTCTTCCTCATTCTTATAAACATTATTACGGACTTCCCAGATTCTTCCATATCGTATATAAAACAGTACAAGAAGTCCCCAGCATTTTTGTAAAACTCACTAGGAGCCCCCGATACTCTTTTACAATCTTTATAAAAAGACAGTGAAGCTCTCGAGATTCTTACACATTCCTGATAAAAAAAGACACTAGAAGCCCTCGTGATTCTTTTACATTTACACTAGGAGCCTCCGAAATTTTTTCACACTCTTCATATAAAAAGAGCCTACAAGACCCAACATTCCTCCACATTCTTACAAAAATTATTTGGGGCCTCCCAGATTCTTCTATATCCTCTGTGAGGCACTAGAAGCCCCCGACATTTTTACAAATTTTTATAAAACTCAGTAGGAGCCTCCGAGATTCTTTTAGAATTTTTATAAAAAAGACACCAGAAGCCTCCGAGATTCTATTACATTCGTGTTTCTTCCACATTCTCAAAAAAAAAATACTAGGAGCCCCCGAGATTCTTCCACATTATTATAAATGTCACTAGGAACCCCCGAAACTCTTTCCAACTCTTCATATAAAAATACCTTGCAAGCCGCGTGATTCTTCCTCATTCTTATAAACATTACTAGGGACTTCCCAGATTCTTCCATATCGTATATAAAACAGTACAAGAAGTCCCCAGCATTTTTATAAAACTCACTAGGAGCCCCCGATACTCTTTTACAATCTTTATCAAAAGATAGTGAAGCCCTCGAGATTCTTTCACATTCTTTATAAAAAAAGACGCTAGAAGCCCTTGTGATTCTTTTACATTCATACTGGGAGCCTCCGAAATTTTTTCATACTCTTCATATAAAAAGAGGCTAGAAGCCCCAAGATTTCTCCACATTCTTATAAAAATTATTTGGGGTTCCCAAGATTCTTCTATATCTTCTATGAGACACAAGAAGCCCTCGTTATTCTTATACATTCTCAAAAAAAAACACTAAGAGCCCCCCAATTTCCTCCATTTTTTTTATAAAGAAGACGCTAGAAGTCCGCGAGATTCTTTCACATTCTTTATAAAAAAGAAACTAGAAGCAGTCGTGGTTCTTTCAATTCTCAAAAAGCACTAGAAGCTCTTAAGATCCATTACAATTCCTCATAAAAAAGAGACTGAAAACC